TCGACGGCACATAACAACAACAACAGTATTTCTTTAGCATTGGGGCACCATAATCTCTCAGACCTACTTAGATTAGGCCATCTTAGATGAGCCACTCAACTTCTTTCTCTTTTCACAAACTGTTGGCCCTGGTTGAGGAATCTCAAGCATTTTGTCTTCCACTGGCCAGATTCTGCTCGTAGAGGGTTAGCGTTGCTGGAGAATGATTACCAATCTTGAACTCATGTTTAAAAAAGGAAGCGAGGCATTGGCACATTTTAGGAAGAGATTTAATGTTGGTCGATAGAAGCCTTGAAGGAAGCAATTCTTATTGGTTCCTCTCACTTTTAAATGCTCATAACTGGTTGTTCATTTTATTAAATATATATTTATTTAAAATCTGCTGTATGTGCACAGCACAGTGGGAGCAGTTGAGAGGAATAGAGAAAAGTTCTCTGTTTTCCAAAGTTGTTGTTGTTGTTAATGTGCCGTCGAGTCGGCCCCAACTCATAGCGACCCCTCCTTGGGTTTCTGAGGCAGTATCACTACGGAAGTAGGATTGCCCAACCTTTCTTCCGAGGAGTGGCTGGTGGGGTTTGAACCGCCAGCCTTCTGGTTAGCAGTCAAGTGCTTTAGCCACTATGCTACCAGAGCTTTCCGAAGTTAGAATTGTGAAAATAAGACACACAAAACCATTAGTATAGTTCCTATATGTTGGGTTTGGGAACAAAAGGAATACAGTGCTAAACATAAAAGGGAAATACATTGAGATCTGTTACCAACTGAAACTCAGTAAGAAATGAGGATACATTAATCAGTCAGAACTTTAAATTCTACAAATTTGATTTGTAAAACTTTAATCATGACTTTTCAGGCTTGCCTTATAAATCCATGCAAAGAGCAAGTTTCAGCTGCTCCTTATTAAATACAATTAACAGTATTAGTTGTTTAAGATACAGGATACCTGTATGGATATAGCTGCCTTTTTGTTCTGATGTGGAGTATCTGCCTTGGTTTTATGACTCCTTGGTAAAATTCCTTTTGAAGGTTTCACTGGTGTGTTGTGTGAGGAGAACATAGACAACTGTGACCCTGACCCTTGCCACCATGGCCAGTGCCAGGATGGTATTGATTCCTACACCTGCATCTGCAATCCCGGATACATGGGAACCATCTGCAGTGACCAGGTTGATGAATGTGACAGCAGCCCTTGCTTGAATGATGGTCGCTGCATTGACCTGGTAAATGGCTACCAGTGCAACTGCCAGCCAGGCACATCAGGTAAGCCTACTCTGTTTATGTTTGGCTTGGAGTTTTCACTGTTTCTCAAACGCAATTTAAGTAGATGTCTCAGACTTTCTTAGCATATTCTCAGATACCTATAAAACAGTCCTGATTCTGAGAAGCACAGCCAAAGCCACAACTATAAATATCTCAGAAGCAGATGGTCTTAATCTAGTGTAGAGACAATAGCTTTGTAAAGCTGATGATTTTGTGCATGTGTGGTGGTGTTTTTTTTTTAAAGAAGCATGTCACTTCAAAAAAATTGAAATTATTATTTAATTGAAAAACTCTCTTGGTTTATGGCTTGATTTGATTTTCTTTTTGCTTTAATCCCCCATCCCGGATTAATGACGCTCTCCTTTCCTTCCTGCCTTCCTTGTTTCCTTCCTTCCTTCCTGTTTTCCGATAGTTTCTTCTTCCAGTAGTTTATTTTCTATTTCAGAGTCCAGTTCCTTTAATGTGACATTTTTCTTCTGCCACTTGTCTCTGGTGGTGCCTTAGGCAGTTTGTGGGGGAGTTCTAAAGGAGGGGAGATAGTTTACACCACGCCACAGTAGTTCATAATTTGCAATACAGGAGCCACCATTTCCCATTCCCAGAGTTCATTGCCGTTCCCTGACCCAAGTTGAATGACCAATTGTCAGTTGTGAGGGTATGCTTCTCCTTTTAGGGGGAATGTTCAATTATTTTCTCAGCCAGCAGCGTTTCACAGGTTTCACTGGATTCTGTTTTACTTATTCGATGAATAATCATTGTCACAACTGTGGTTAATGGACAGAGAAGTACTATTTCTTAGATCAAAGGAAAATATATTAGTGGAAGATTAACCAATGTGTGCCTTTGTTAGAAGGGAACCTTCCAATACAAGGGAGTGATTTATTGGGAACACGTTCAGGACTTAAGGAAAATGGCCTGTGTAGGGGGCAAAGGTGGGGGAGGTGATTAGATGCCCTCATTTTATTTTGTTATTTCCAAACCCATTTCTTCAAACTTGTCAAAGCCCTGGTCTTCATCCAGCACCTCATACATGCCAAGTTTGAAAACAAAGTCCTTTTTGAGTTGCTCAAGCATATGAAAAACATCCCATGCCTTCACAGCTGAAAATGCCATCCCCCTCCCCACGTTTAGATAACTCACTAAAAGGGCTGAATAGATCTTTGTGAAACCTTCCAAAAGCAATTTGCTTCCGGGCTGGTCCCCAGACATGAGAAATTGCAGTCCGAAAAGAAATTTGAGAGATTTACAAGCAATTGAATGGATGCCTTTAGAATGGAAGGGCTGTTTTAGGCTTTGCTATCATTCCTGTTTTAACAAACATACTGGAAAACTGGGTGAGTGGTGGGTTGGCAAGCACTTTGTTTTCACTGGGATTATATCATCATGCCAGGATGTATCAGGTGTGTTCCCTGGGGAGGACAAGAGGGCAGGGTTTAAATAGCTGTCACTGAGAAAGGCAAGAAATAAATACGAGTGGTGTGCAGGTAACACAGGGAAGGAAGGCCTGAGTCTCTCAGAAAGCTGCCAAACCCATCCCTGAAGCTGTTGGGAGAATCAAAGACAACAGAAAGAAATTGTCCATATGGGTGAAGAAAGAGCTGTCATGTTCCAGGGGCTTGGGTGAAAGGATGGATCTATTAAATGAGTCATTATGAATAGACTTTTGAATTCTAGAATAACAATCCAGGGTCACTCTATAATATTGTCCTAAGTTGTTAGGTTGCAGTTTGGATAGGTGTGTGGATGGAAGGGATACTTTAGAAGTTACTCATTAAAAATTGTGATTTGTCACTGCATATATAAAGTGAGATATATTACCCAGGATCACTTTTGATACCTTCTTGTATCAAGAAGGAAATTGTTTCAAGTAAGTTTCTTTGGGTTTCGAGTAACAAACCAACTTGGGCTAGCCTAAACAAGCATTTACAAACAAGTAAATGAAAGGGTTTAGTGAAAGCATACAGAAACATCTCACAAATCCCAAGGGAGAGCTGACCAATAAAGCTTTGGGGAGATTAACAGGTAGCAGGGCAGTTTGCAGACCATAGGTCACAGAGCTCAAATTCCACTGTTACAGATGAGGGCATTGCATTGGCTCTGATGTCTGTTCGTGCTTGAATAAAGCGTGACCGTGAGAGTGGAGTCAGCCTTTGTGGTTTGGAGGGAACCAATTCCTAGGTAAAGAAGCATTGTCAGTCAAGGACTGGACATATCCCCTAAAGGTATCCACGTGTGTACAAGCAATATGGAAATTCCTTACCTCATTATGCTTAGGGAGACAGCAGTTTCATTTATCATAGAAACACAATATGGTATGGTAGAACAGGGACAGAGCTGTAGAGCCAGAGAACAAGGTTCAGACTCTAGCTGTGTTCCCGTAACTTGCATTATGTCAATCAGTTATCTCATCAATGAAACGAGTGTAACAGCTTGATTTGCATATTGAACAAGAGGATTAGACATAAATTATGTAAAGTGCTAAACTAAGTGCTTTGTACTTAATAATGGCTCCATAAATTATTCCTGTCAAATTATTCATAAAAACATTAATATGAAATGTGAGTGGATTAAAATCATGGTATTTGCCTTATAAGTTTTGTTTCTTTGTTTATATCCTTATTACCATGTTTTATTTTCAGATTTTTCATACTACCAAGGTATTTTGCTATGATACCTAGAAAGCATCATTGCATTCATGTCATATCATGAGTACTTTTTCAGGACAATGGTAATAGTAATGATTGTTAAGCCTTTACTGTTTACTTATCCATATCTACCATTCAACCCGTGTTACCATAACAAGACTCTGCCACTCAGCTGGGGAGTAGACCAAGGAGTAAGGCAGCATATTTCAGGAAAAAGTTCAGTAAGATTTGTCCTGAACTTTAGCCCTTATCGGTGCCAATAAGCTGTCAAGCTTGCAGTGATGGGTACAAATGGTCCAGACTTCTACTTTTCACTTGAAAACTCAGATGTTTATCTTTGGCAGAAAACACTGCCAGGTCCTTTGTTTGAAATGACAAGTTTTCTTTGTTCACTTAATGTCTGTCTCTAATCTGAATAGAGTCCCTGGGTGATACAAATAGTTATCTATGCTCAGCTTCTAACCCAAAGGTTAGAGGTTTGAATCCCCCCAGAACCACATCAGAAAGAAGGCCCGGTGATGGACTTTGAAACACCAGCCATGGAGCATGCTGTGGAGCATAGTTCTACTCTGACACACACAGGGTTGCTGTGAGTTGGAACTGACTCAGTAGCAACTGGTGCTGGCACTGGTAGTCTGAATAGTCAGGTTTGTCTGTTCTTTCAATTAAAATGAGGTTCCATGGAAAAAGCCAGTATTTCAGCTCACAACTCAAACAATCACATGACTACTTTTCCTGGAGACAGCCATTGTACTTTGGCATGCCACAGTAGTGCTTTGTATGTACTTCCCACTTTGTCACACAGAATATTAGATGTATACTCCAGCATTAAGATTTAATTATACAATTAGTAACTCTTACTGTTTCACCAAGGCCATTCTTAAGTAAAACTTTTTTTATTCTTTGGTTTTTTGGTTTGTTTTTCTAACATGCCAAAGCAGGTTAGTGAAGAATATAGTGACTAGTGGTACAATGTGGTGCCACTGCTTTGATTCATGCTAAGATTCCATTTGCTTTTTGCACTGTCAGTGAGAATGTCAACATAGTGCAAAAGGAAAATAATGGTTTAAAGTTACTAAGAAAATCATCTTGACCTCATGATCCACCAGGAAGGGTCTTGAAGATGTCTAAGAGTTCATGGACTACACTTTGAGAACTGCTGCCTTAATATATCCACAGTTGTCTAGATAGTGTTTATATTTAGATTTTTTTAAATATGAACAGTTAAGTACTTGCATTTTTGTGGTGATATAGAATTGTTTGTCTTTGCTTTTGTCTTCACAGGGATTAACTGTGAAATTAATTTTGATGACTGTGCAAGTAATCCTTGTGTCCATGGAGTATGTAAGGATGGCATTAACCGCTATAGCTGTGCCTGTTCACCAGGCTTCACAGGTAATGCTGATTTTTTACTGAGAGACCCACTCATTCAACCCCATCACTTTGGGAGAATGGCATCTAAGGGAAAATGACTCTTTAAATATCTCCTTATTTGTGTATTTCTTTGTCTGTATGGAAGGTTGGAAGTCTGTCTCCATGTTTCCTGAACCAGTCTTCTGTTCACACATCTCTGTTCTTGCTTTTGTTCCCAGTAATATTACAATTCTCTTAGGATTTTTAGACCATATGTTTATTACTACCTGAAAAAAAAATTCCTAGTCAGATCATGAATTTCCATCTCTGTACTTAAGTTACATTGCTTCCAAAACTAACTTCATTTTTCAATGGTAGTAATGTTTTTTTGTAAAAGCATACCCAAAATAAATCTCTATGAAAATACTAAATACTCACTTCTGGGTATTTCTTCTCTTGGGAAATTGTTGGATAAGATCAGAACATGGAAGGGCCAACTTAAATTTGACTACCACAAATGAGTTCTTTCTACTCAAAAGGAAGAACATAAATGCCCAAAATAACTTGAGTTATAACTTTCAAAATTATGAACACCTAAAGTAAAACAAGGCCAAGAGCTGATTGTGGAACATCAACTGCTTATATGCAAGTTCAAGTTGAAAATGAAGACAATTAAAATAAGTCCACGAGAGCCAAAATATGATCTATATTATATCCCACCTGAATTGAGAGATGATCTGAAGAATAGATTTGATGCATTGAGCACCAGTGACCGAAAACCAAAAGAATTGTGGGATGAAATCAACAACATCATCCATGAAGAAAGCAAAACATCATTAAAAATACAAAAAAGGAAGAAAAGACCAAAATGGATATCAGAAGACACTCTGAAACTTGCCCTTGAACAAGGAGTAGCAAAAGCAAATGGAAGAAATAACAAGATAAAAGAGCTAAACACAAGATTTCAAAGAGCAGCTTGAGAAAACAGAGTCAATTATAATGAAATGTGCGAAGACCTAGAAACCAAAAGGGAAGAGCATGCTCAGCATTTCTCAAGCTGAAAGAACTGAAGAGAAAATTTAAGCCTTGAGATGCAACATTGAAAGATTCTATGGGCAAAATATTGAATGAT